GCTACTAGGGGCTCCTGGCATCGCTACTGGACGCTACTAGGGGCTCCTGGCATCGCTACTAGGAGCAAAGGACGCTACTAGTGGCTCCTGGCATCGCGACTAGGAGCAAAGGACGCTACTAGGGGCTCCTGGCATCGCTACTAGGAGCACAGGACGCCACTAGGGGCTCCTGGCATCGCTACTAGGAGCAAAGGACGCTACTAGTGGCTCCTTGGCATCGCTACTAGGAGCAAAGGACGCTACTAGGGGCTCCTGGCATCGCTACTAGGAGCAAGGAGCAAGGACGCTACTAGGGGCTGCTGGCCCTACTACTAGGAGCAAAGGACGCTACTAGGGGCTCCTGCCATCGCTACTAGGAGCAAGGACGCTACTAGGGGCTCCTGGCATCGCTACTTAGGAGCAAAGGACGCTACTAGGGGCTCCTCGCATCGCTACTAGGAGCAAAGGACGCTACTCGTGGCTCCTGGCATCGCTACTAGGAGCAAAGGACGCTACTCCTGGCATCGCTAATAGGAGCAAAGGACGCTACCAGGGGCTCCTCGCCTATCCAGAACTCCATGTTGCAAAGTGGCCCTTGAGGCTGCGCTGATCGCAGCTCTTGCAGTCGCTGTTGAGGATCTGACCCGAAGTTGGCTGTACGTAGCATAGAATCCAAGCCCCCGTTTTGCTGAAGGTCGGGCCAAAAAGTGCCATCACTGGTGAACAGTAGTGGGCAATCAGAGCCAAATTGATTTAGCAACATCTGTCTCAAGCTTTCTAAATAGTCCTTATCTGTGCCCCAGTAGCCATACTCATTCTCCACCTGTATCGCGATGATGGGCCCACCCTGGGCGGACAAAAATGCCTCAAGTTTGGGCAAAAGCTCGTCCCACCAACGTTTTACAGCCGTCAGGAAGTCTTTGTCCGACGACCTCAAAGGTACAGGATCTGGACCTGTCAATAACCACCAGGGCAACCCTCCAAGATCCCATTCGGCACAAATATAGGGTCCAGGTCTCAAAAGCACATCCAGCTCAAGCTCTTGGCAAATAGAAAGAAAACTAAGCAGGTCACAGCGACCCTCGAAAACAAACTGACCAGGTTGAGGTTCATGCAAATTCCAGGGAACGTAGACTTCAGCGGCATTGCAACCAAGAGCCTTCAGTTTTTCGAGTCGATCTCGCCATTGTTCAGGCAGAACCCGGAAGTAGCTCACGGACCCCGACAAGATCCGGTGCTTTTGGCCACCCAAAGCGAAGTCGTTCTGTTGGATCTCAAGCCTGCGAAATGCAAAAGTTCGACATGCCTATACATGCCTCAACCTCCTGTCTTCACCTGCAGCATTCTAAAACAAAATGCGGCTGTCTGTGTATAGGTTGAAGTTCTGGTCCAGGTGAACAGGATGAGGTGGGGACAAGAATATATATGTAGATATATGGGTGTTGATCTAAATTCCTTTATCTGGGATCCGTCATTCTCAACCATAAAATTTTACTTTAGCCAAACTTTTGCCTTCCTTATTTTATCTTTCGCCGAAGTATGTTGTACTTATGTGCCATGTATATATGTTGTATGATGGAAATCAACATTGTTCATGTCAATGGCTTCTTCTTTACTGGCAATACGAAATAGAAACTTCACTGTTTGTCAGCATGCGTCTTCTACTTAACTGTTGACTCCCTGTACGTCTCTTTTGTTTCTCCTGGGTGTCGGCAAGAATCAAAAATTGCAAGAATCACTGTAGCCGGTCACTCAGACTTACTTAGAATGGGCTGGGGGTCAGATGTGGCAGGGTGAACTTTCGCCAATCTTGAGCTGAACTTTCGCCAAACTTTCGCCTTTTGCGGGGTAGAGTTTTGTGGCAAAGCCGGCCCCCCAAAGCAGGAGCAGGAGTAGTAGTAGTAGCAGCAGCAGCAGCAGTAGTAGTAGTAGTCGTCGTCGTAGTAGTAGTCGTAGTAGTAGTCGTCGTGGTGGTGGTGGTAGTGGTAGTGGTAGTAGTAGTAGCTGCAGCAGCAGCAGCAGGAGTAGTAGTAGTAGTAGTAGTAGTAGTAGCAGCAGCAGCAGTAGGAGTAGGAGTAGGAGTAGGAGTAGGAGGAGGAGTAGGAGTAGGAGTAGGAGTAGTAGTAGTAGTAGTAGTAGTAGTAGTAGCAACAGCAGCAGCAGCAGAAAGAACATCTTTGGCCATATCTTTCGCAAAAAATAAACTTTTGCAAACGAGAAAAAACTTTCGCCAAATGAGGTTTTGACATGTTTCAGGGTCATCGTAATCAACGCTATGTATTAGGACCTTTAGATCGACAACCATATATAGTTTATTGCCAGGTCCAACCTGCAAGTACTAATTACGATTGTTTGAGCTGGTGGGAACAACGACGCATCCAAAAAGCAGAATATGCTGTGAGATGGCATGAGTAAGCAAGTGCCAACCTGCGGCTGGAAACTCGGCGTTGGAGTGCCCCTCCGAAACGCCTCTGCAGCGCAGAGGACCTGCGACCTGGACAAGGCTTGCACTTCTTCGTCAAACAAAGTGCATGTGTGAATGCTCCAGCTGTCAGCACAGACCTTTCAGTAGATGATTTACAAAATGTTTGATCAAGAAAGCATAAGAAAGCTCAATTGGTGTGGCATTTCATGTCCCAACTGCTTGATGTTGACATAAGGTGACACACCCTTGCAGCAAGTTCTGAGCCAAGGCCCTGGCATCGTCGAACATCACACAGCATTGGTAGCCAAAAAGGAAGCCTGCAGAATGCAAAGTCCATTGATTCTCCAGCAATAGTTGGTGGGATGGAATATGTACTGTAGCCGGGGCAAGCCACTGACAAAACAACCAACTCTTGCCAAAACAGTTGCAGGCTACTTGTTCTTTGCGAAAGGGAACTTGATGCGTCTTGAGAGCCCGCTCCTACTGACTCCTACTGACTCCTACCCTCCAAAAGCCTGCTTGCCAATGGGTGGACTCTTTGTTCGTTCGTCGCATCACCTCGTGCGCCGATGACCTGCTCTCCGATGACATTTGCGCGCGTTCCACACAGGTGCTTTTTTTCAAAAGCCCACGGGGGGCGGGTAGGCCGCTGTAAGAAGAGGTAAGCTGATTAGTAGCTACAGTATTAAGTAGGACGCTCCTAGGTAGGACGCAGGATAGCTCACGCTATTCATTTGGTTCCTGGATTTACAGCCAGTGAGCCTTCTGCACACTGCAAAACACAATTGATCACAACACAAGTGCCCTTCACAAGAAACCCTGCAAAGTGAGAAGTGCAACCAATGAAGCAAGTGTAATTTGAACAGCTGCCCGGCTGATGAAGCCCAAGAAGGACAGTATCAGGTCTGCTTGGTAGAAACCTTGTGCACTCACTGTCCGTCTGTAATTCCCCTTTCCGTGATTTCCGTGACGAGGAGCATCGTGCACAGGCTCTTCCTCAAGGTCGGAGGTCGGTTTGAGCTGCGCGAAGCATAAGCCCCAAGAAAAGACCTCCACAAACAGAACAAGTTATTTTCACAGCGGCCGGAATTGTCTCCCAACATCTGATAAGTTGCAGTAAACACCGCCGACAGGGCCTGCTAAATGGCCTGCCAAGTCCTTGTAAGGCGCCATGACTGCACGATAGCTGCATGGCTCAGGAAACCCAGCTATGACTGTGACTACAATGCCTTGACCACCTCTCTTATAGAATGTCTTGCGGAGACAATACTGCCAGTGCATCCTGGCACATATAATCTGCAAACTTTATGGCGTTGGTCTCAGGTTGAATCTACTGGAGGTTTGACGCCGACATGTTGGTTGGCATCAAATACAAGCCTTTCCTGGAATTCGCTGGCTTGCATTTCACTAGCCCTGGCTGCGCAACAAAAGTGGCCGCGGCGGCGGCTCAACACCAGAATGCCACCCAAAACTGCTTGCAAGGGAAAACTTTGCAAAAGCCTGCCATGTGTATGCTGCAGCTGCCACAAATACAGAAACCAAGCGCGTCATATCTCCGATCTCTTCTTCCCATCGCTCTTGCAGTAGGTTGGAGGCCATCGTTCTAGGTTGGAGGTCATCGCTATTAAGTTGGAGGCCATCTCTGTTTCCCTTTTTAGGAATTACAATTACTTTTTCTGCCGCCTGGCCCTGTTAAAGCTCCACTTCTTGGTAGTTATGCAGTCGAAAAGTGAGAATAGTAATTGTGGATCTATTCGCTTCAGAAAGATTACGTCTCATACTGATACTGTACAAGTATCTCCATACTTCAAAGTGGTAGAATCTTAACCGCACAGTGCTTGAGCCATGGCCTTGTTAAAATCGATGCTCAAGACCTTGGGACGCACGGAGTGCAAAGCTCTCTGTCAAAGAAGTTGAGTGCCATTGCTGTCAATTGCTACAGCTGAAATGTCGGGCCATGTCAACTCAACTACTGTATATAGTATGTTGCATGTTTGTTTCTTGTATTTTGATTATTTACTAAGCAGCAAGAAAACTGTCATCGAGCTGGTCTGCCACTGTATGTGGGGAAATGTTGGCATCAAATGACAGGCATGGTACTTGTATTGGAATCTCATTGGCTACTTATTGAATCTCATTGGCTACATTTTTGCATACTGCGAACATGGTCACTGAACCAGTCATGAACTCTCATTCCGGAGTCATTCTGGAATATGTACAATTCTAACGGCATCAGCTCTTGACCATAGCCAGGTCGGCTCAGAGGGTACAAATCTCATCTGATGATGTCAAGAGTTCAAAGGCCTGCGGCACCTACTTACGCCCTGGGTGTGTATGACATGGTGGTACCAAATACCTGTCGAACCTGCAATAAGGTCAAGTTTGACCTGTTCATTGGTCCAGCCTGGCTGTCCAGCGCCATCTTGACATGCAAGGGGTGCTGGTACAGTTTGACACTCAAGACTCAAGCCCGCTCAGTTCGGTCAGGCTTGTCTGACTGGACCACATGTGATGATACATGCCGTTTTGAGTCATCAGAAGGTGAGAGCTTCCTAAGCTTCTTCTTTGAACTGAGCTCGAGTGCGCCCTCTAAGCTTCAAAAGACGTCGCTATTTTGTTGCACTTGGTTCAGAACTCGCATGGCCGCTTCTCTCGTCGCCTGAGAACTCATGTGCTTTGCATCTGTTCAGATCAGACTTCTGGAGTGGAGTTCCAATGACCTAGTGTTCGTATTTTACTGCTCCCCCGCGGATACTACTTAGCTTTCAGCTACTTGAATCTTCTAGCCTCTCACAGATTTTGCCTCCCAATAAAACAGAAAGAAAGGCAGCAAACTGGATGCTTGTCACAAGACATTTCGCAGTGTGACCCAAACCTGCCCAAACCTGCCTCATCAGAGCTCTGGAGCATACGGACGCAAAGCGGCAAGGCACCAACTTCAGCTACAAGGAGGGCACCACGGTTGCTCCCTGCGAGATCTGCCAGCGCTGCCAAGGCCTGCAGTTCTCCAACCGTTGCGGGGTTTGTTGGCGGAACCGGTCCTGTTGCCATGCTTAATAGTCGAAGCAACTTGAAGATCTAGGTGTGCGTGTATGTATATATTTATATGGTACCCTCCCAGAGATCTACCGTTTTCATATGTTTGCAAGACTCTTTAAAGCAAGGACTACTCACTTCTCTACATCCATGTCCTGACCTACCTTTTGGTGTTAAATGTGCAGGGGGTAGCATACATATATATATATATGGTACCCCCCCCAAATGTCTACCTCATTTGGTTTTGATTGGTATTTTGAGTACAAAAAATATAACAAAAATCAAAGCACTTCTGAATTCAAAAACAAATGAAAAAAACACATAAAACATCATAAAACACATATCCCCCATTTTGAGTATTTGTTTACCATTGCAGACGTTTGCGTTCAGGAATTTTATGAATGCTCCTTCCACACTGTACTCAGCACAAATCCAGAAATCGCGTTTGCAAACGTTTGCAAACGAGAGGGGTTTCAAGATTCAAGATTTAAGATTCAAAGTTCAAGGTTCAAGATTGAAGATTCAAGATTCAAGGTTCAAGATTGAAGATTCAAGATTGAAGATTCAAGATTGAAGATTGAAGATTCAAGATTCAAAAGAAGTTCTTGAATCCTGAATTCAATACTTGAATCCAGTATATCAAGTGTCTGGAATCCTCGATTCAAGAACTTCTTTTTGAATCTTGAACCTTGAATATTGAATCTTCAATCTTAAATCTTGAACCCCCCCTCGTTTGCCAACGTTTGCAAACGCTCTTTCTGGATTTTGCGCTGAGTAAAGTGTGGAGGGAACATTCATAAACTTCCTGAACGCAAACGTCTGCAATGGTAAAAACGAAACATCAAATACTCCTGAGAAAAAAAAGATAATGCCCCTCGGGTCCCCTAAGCCCTCCGCCAAACCAGAGAACTTAGGCACAGACACCACTAAGTCTTTCTCAAATGACACACACCCCTTACAGCGCAAGGGCTGGGGGGGGAGGGTGCTGAAGCCGAGCAGCTGCGGAAACACGTTACTGCGGTTTCATCTTTAATTACGTGGGCGAAAACCAAAGATTCATCCGCCGATGTCTTTTCCGCGCGTGCAGAGTTGTGTCAGAAAACTAAAAAAGCAGACAGCGAGAAAGACTCTTTCAGCTTGTTCCAAAACTTCACTCTTGGAGGCACAGCATTCCCTTTCTTGGCCAAGACCCTCAAAAAAGAGAATGCCCCTCGGGTCCCCTAAGCCCTCTGGTTTCTCAAATGACACATCCACCAAAGTCGCTTTTAAAACACACCCCTTCTACGTCCCCCTAAGCTGCTTCAGTACGCTCAAGCGTGCGAGGGACTGCAAGAGATCCAATGAGTGAAACGTGCGCGCAAAAGGACGCAAGTCTTCCTAGGTGAAACGAGCTGGGCCAGAACCGACAATCCTTCGTTGATGTAGATTCTAGCTGTACGGGCAGCGGCCCACCTGCCCTGAATAAGAATCTTGTCCAGAGGTCCATGATTGCCGAACCAAAAGTGGCCCCACCCCTCCGGAGAGAGTACGGCCGAAACCCAAGCTCACTAAGAGACAGTGCATGTAGACATTCACTAAACACGCGCCGCCAGTGGTGTGATGCAGGGGTGAGCGGACATTGTGGTGGAGTAGTACTTTTCCATGCCCATAACCAAGCTAGAACAGGTGCAGTGACCGTAATACTTCTTCCTGATCATCTCCAAGTTGAATGGCAACACTTTTTCCGGCAGGAATGGCAACGGCATCTTCCTGATCATCTCCAAGTTGAATGGCAACACTTTTTCCGGCAGGAACGGCAACGTCATCTACATCATCAATCCACCAATCCTACCGGTTGGTCTCTTTCTGACATCCAGGCATTTCGTCGCTATGCCAAAGCCTTTGTGGTTGGACCTGGTGACCATTTTCCACATACAGCAGTGCTCTCTTGCCCTTGCCACTACCACCACCTCCTGTGCAAGACCTTCATTCCCTCCCCCGCCACTTCCACACCTGTCTTCCAACCACTACGCCATGGGATTCACCTGATCAAGACTCGCCTTCGCGACGTATGGCCACCCCGTCTTCTCCAACGTTATCGCTGGGGCCTTCATTGGGATCGTCGTCTACCTTCAGCTTACATTCTTCCCAAGCACTCTCGCGATTGGAGCAAGGCACGCCCGATCGTGTCCTATGCTCAGACAGTCAGTGCCCCACTCAGCCAGACTGTCGCTTCTGCCATCTATTGCCTCCTCCAGATCGTCTTCCCTGACCTGACTTCACTTTCGGATGTTCTCCCACTTCTTCGTCGTATTTGGAGGGTTTTGCAACACTATGACCCCACGGACGACCTCGTCCTCTACCAACAGGACATCGCCGGTTTCTTCAACTTCGTCACGCACCCTCGTATGATCTCCACAGTCGAGTTCCTGATCACTCGATATGCCTCCCTCCAAGGCTTGGACCTTCGAGACGACCCTGTACTCAGTGTCGCTCAGCATCAGCAAGAACGCTTACAACGCATCTTTCGCGGCCGCTGGCGTAAAGCCTCTCGCTCCTACCATCCCATACACCTTCGAGACCTTCCGGATTTGGTCGCTCACCTCCTGGACTCTTCCTACTTCACCAGTGTTTCGGCAATGTCAAGCAGCTTCCATGGGCTCACCCCTGGCCCCTGCGTTATGCAGTGCTGTTGCATTATTCAGAGAACATTGTTTCCTACGCTCTTTCCCCACTTCCTCGTGGTGCTATGCAACTGGATTGGCACTCCGGGCACGTTATGTCGACAATGTTTTCTTTCTTGGACCTGTGCATATGCTTCACACAGACTCCTTCCAGGCCATCGCTCAACCCTTCTTTTATGGGAGACCATTGGAGATGGAGTACGTCACGGATGAGACCTTGCTTGGCTTTGTTCTTTCTACCTCTCAGCGCACTATTACCTTTCGACAACCACCCCACCTCACACTGATCCGCAGCAATCGCACCGCTGGCTCTCCAGAGACGGCGCTCGCTGGTTTCTTTACCCGGGGTATATTGATTTGCCGCTTGACCCGTCCTCACGATCTTATCTTCCCGCAACTCATTGACCTCACTCAGCAATACCTCGACAAGGATTTCACCATGACCCAACTTTTGCCACTTCTTCATCAACTTTGCCACCGTTTCCATCTACCTCGACAACCACTTCACGCTCAATGTCGGTTTCTCACTTTCTCACCAGATGCAGCACATGGCATAAAAAATATGACGGTTGCAAATAGCAAGCAGCTTCCCTGTGCGCAGTAACCCGTAAAAACCTAAAAAAAGGAGAGAAAGGCCAAAGGCATAGCGCTGGCGCAACAAACACCAGCGCAAACATAGCATTGAGAGCTTGTGCTGGAAGTGGTGGGGCGCGGTTAGGCACCTCGTTGATGCGCCAGGTTTTGAGCAGCCGCCACGTGACTTGGAGGTGACCCTTTAAGTGGGGTTCAGTATCTTGGAGAGCGGCCACTGTATCACTAGCTAGTGCTCGACCTTCTCCGGTAGCCCATAAATACTCCACATATAGTCAGAAAGCATGTCATCGAAAGCGGCAGTCTGTCGAGGAATTTCCATGGAGTTTTCCCGCAGGTAGGTGTACAATTTTTGCTTTGCAAGGCGGTACCTTTGTCGTGTCTTTGGCTGTACAGTCAACTCACCGAGAGTTCCTACGGTTTGCCTTTGTTTTGCTCTGTCTTCCTTGCTGCGTCCTTCTAGGTGTACTTTTACCTTACCCATTTTCGCCTCTGAGGCCACCGGCTAGGCCGGTCGGCAGGGTTTTGGCTTGCGTGCACATACCGCAGATGGGGTGAAGGTCAGCAGCGAGGATCAGAGCGTTAATGCGCACCAGGGCTTCTCTCAAATTCTGACTGGAGGAGCGGCCTGGGCAAACCAAACTATCAGTGGATTCAGAAACCGGAACCTTCGAATATTTCGGCGTTCTACCAACCAGCGCAAACTCGTCAGCACCGCCGCATTTCAAGCACGTTTATACGCTCCCCCTTTCGCCTCCCGCCACCTCCAAAGTTTGGCCGGTACACTGGTGCGAAGACGATGGAATTTTACCTGCGGTTCTGTTGCGGTTTGGACCATCAACAGAAGTCCTTGCAATGCATGGCTCAAACCTGGCGTCAAAGAGTCAACGATTCGCTGTACTGTGGGGCCCTGACAAATCCCTATAGCACCTTCAGCAGCTGGGAGATCAACCAAGTAACTCCTACTTGCCAGGAGTTGCCAACCAAGGTCAACCGGATATCCGTCCATTGGGCACCCTTCTGCTGTTGTTTCGGGCGCACTTAGTTTTTGGCTTGAACCAGCTGGCCCTATAGGAACCGGCATTGGCACGACTCCCGCCCGACACGTCGAGGGGGGAGTTCCGCGATCGTTTCGATGTCTGGGGCCAAGAGATGGACACAGTGGACTTCGAACAGTTCTTATCGAAACGGGGTGTTGGCTATGACGGTGAGGAGGTGAAACTTGCACAAATTGTTTGGGATGCGGTAAGGAACTCTCTTCCTGATCAGGTTGGACAACTTCCCCTCCTGGATTTTTGGAGCACTTTGAAGAGCATTTGATTGATCCAGGTTGTCAAGCTGCCACAAAGACTCCTAAAGTAATGGTCGGCGCCGGCTGGCCGGAACTCAGCAGCGGCTTGGATCGTGGAATCGAGCAGCTCTACCACATCGGTGAGGCCCCTTTGTTCAACGGGCTGTTCGCAGTCGGTAAGGGGGAGTTTGCTCTCGCGAACCCCTTGTGGGGGAGGTGAGCACCCTCCCGTCCATCAGTAGCCTGACATAGCTTTTTGTTGGAAGAGGGCGAACTGCGAACTATTAGTTCGGAGGACGTCAGGCACTTTTTTTAATTTGAGGCCGGTTCAGCGGCGTCATTTCCTAGGGGATCATAAGTTGGTGGAGGAGTCTCTTGTCCCTAGTCAGTGAAAGGGTAAGCCCTGCGTTCTCGTCTCCCGCGTTCTTCCGATGGGCTTCGTGAACAGTGTGTCAATCGCGCAACATACTCACCGAATACGGTGGAGTCAGCACGATTGTCTGGCCCTTCCAAGAAAGGTGGCCTTGGAGATCGCCATGTTCATCCTGCTGTACCCTTTAGCTCAACTCGAGTTACGTTGCAAGCTAGCCGAACACACTACGTGCAGCGACGCTTCCACAACAGGCGGAGTCATTTGTGTCAGCGAAGGACTCACCGGCTATGGGATGGCCGCCCTTCAGGCTGATGTCCGAGGCGGACACGGCGCAGGTTCTGACAGCGGGGCCATACGACGGGCTTAGCGCACTCAGGCTGCCGGTAGATTCCTTTGGTGTTCCAGTCGCAGAGCATTTCAGCGTGGAGAAAGAACAGCCAGCCTGGGAGGTGGGCGAGGCCTACTTTCCTGACAGCATCTTTCACGATGACATCCAGATAGTAGATGAGGAGGTGATTAGAGGTTTGGCGCTCCGATTCCCATCTGTTGGTTTGGCGCTCATTGGTGTGGGGCCTTTGCGCCAGGGAGTCAGTGGGCTCAGTGCAACCAAAAAAAGGCGCCCTACATGATTAATCGCTGTTTGAAATCTATTTCCGATGGGCACAGGTTCACTTGCTCATGGAATCTGTGGCCTCAATGGATGAGGCCGATCGCAACGCGATGGGCGACGCTGTGAGGCTTCACCCTTACAGTATTGATAGCGCCGGCCTTGCCCAGCATTGCGCAGTGGGCGGTAGAGTTCGAGGCCGCAGTGCACGAGGAGAAGGTCCTTGAAGCAGGTTGGACTGTAGCACCAGGATGCCGACTCGGAACCTGGCAGGGCTGGAGAAATGCTTGCCACGTGAGCGGTGGGAGCAAGACTCCTGCCGTTTCCCTCCATACCAATACAAGGACGAGAACATCCTCTGGAACAAACGTGACGAAGGACGACTGCCCAATATAGCGAACGCGAAGCCATCATGGGAATTCCAGCAAGAGCTGGAAAGCTTCGACAAGCACCTATATGTCCCGGCGCAGCTTCAAGTTCCATAATGGTCCTGCGCGCGCAAGCGCCGCAGTGCTCCTGCCGCAGGTGGCGGCGGGGGCACTTAATGCGCTGCATCAAGGCAAGAACTCGCCCACTCCCTCCCCAGAGCTCTCCGCAAGGTCGAGGAGCTCCACGTAGAAAGTCCGAAGCTTTGCGGTGCACGCCTCGGTGAACTCACTGCCCAGCTTGGAGTTGTACAGCAACAGGAAGACGCGCTGGGCTGCCAGGCAAAGCCCGCACCTGCACGTCTCCCAGTTGTGCACAGCTCCACTCATGCGCTGAAGCCGAGCAGCTGCGGAAACACGTTACTGCGGCGGTTTCATCTTTAATTACGTGGACGAAAACCGTATATATAAATATGTGCATAGTTTGGAGATAAACACTTTAAAGAAATTGAAAAACTAGTTTGTCTTTTTAACAAACATAAATAAAAGTTTTTGTGGACCTGGATTCAAGATTCAAGATGCCTAGCAAAAGTTGTTCCAGCAATCTTGAATCGTGAGTCCTTATTTGTCGCTCTACCTTTTGCCTGTGTGTTTTCTTCTCATAGACTGCCAAAAGCAAAAACCCAAAACTATAAAAGGAAAACTCTGTATGTCAATGTTAAGAATGTCATCTATGTCATCAATCATGTTGTATTTAGGGTGTTCTTTCCGTTCATTGATGTAATCATCAATGGGAGCTTTTACTCTGGGTTTGTTTACTTGCTGTTTCTGTTGCAACGTCTTCAGGCAGTGGGAAAAAATTCTGACCATTGCAGAGTCTTAATGCGATGGTTTCTTATGGGTGGGTCATATTTGTAAATTAATGTTTGAAATGTCAATCTCAATATGTAATACCTGTTCTATTTCCTTAATGGATACCCCCTTTCAGTCAACTCATCTCTTCCAAGAATCTCACAAATCTTTTCCTATCAAAAGTATGTTTCCAGTGGTCCCACTCACAAGAGCAGTGTCACAAAATCCATTAATGCATTCCTCGAGCATACATGTTCTATATGTAATTACCTTGCTCAATATCTTTTGAATTGTGTCAGCATCTTTTTGGTGTGTTTGTATAATAGTGCTAGATATATACATTAGCTGCATCTGTCAAATTGTCATCCAATACATTCATTCCTTTACCGTTCTTCTGTTTTCTCTACTGACTCTGATTTTGATACAGCTTAGGTTGTCATAATACATTGTCAAGTCCTTCAACTGAATCAAAAATGTTTATCATCACTGAGCAATGTTTGCATTATCATGTTGAGGATTTTGCCAAATAAAGCTTTGGTATGTCTTCTGCGTTGTCCTTTTTTAAGTTCTCTTGCGTACAGTGGTTTCAGAGTAGATGGCACAAACCCGTACATGTCTTTTAGATGGGGGTCCATATAAACCACCGCGATTGTGCCATCTACTCTGAAACCGCTGTATATAGAAGATCCTTAGGAAAATATGTCACATTTATATATATTTGAAGAATGACAGCGAAATAAAAACATCCTTGATGTGCAAAAGGTTGGCTTTTGTTTGATACCAAGCTCTTTGAAGTGCTTGTAGATCTATCTATGTCTATAATATTGACTTAGGTAGGCAAAAACGGTAGATGTTTGCGGGGGTAGCATATGTATACTGTATACTGCATGTTGTGTTCTACAGTTGATCCCACCTCAACCCTGATCTCCTCGGGCGAGTCGGATTTTTGAGCAAGCTGCGCCAAACAACTGGGGATCTCCTGCCCAAAGATTCCTGGGCATTTAGTCGTCAAAACATATCAAAACTCCCTACCAGCAGAATGGCCGCTACACACACAACATCAGTCAGCAATGCCAAGTGTCGGATTGGTTCCTCGCCGAACTCAGAGAGTATGCTTCGTACATCTTGCAAAGCACGCAGTTCATCTCCGGTAGACATCAGGCGAGCCCCTTGCCAAGTGAAGAACAAGGTCACTTTTATTTGCTGAAAACGTCAACCTGTTCCGATGTGTGAAGTAGGGCTGCTCTGAAGTTGACAACAAAACACACAAATTCTCCACAATCCTCAAACAACCTGACAATTGGCACACAAAATGTCCTTCTGAAAGGGGAGCAGGGTTCTAATCCCGTGGGCCGTTTGTTGTGTGGCAAGCAGTCACATCAACAAGAGACCAAGTGGGCCTTTTGTTGTCAAGACCCGGATGAACAGCATTCTTTCGGGTTTGAAACAAACATGTCACAGGGGCCCAAAGCACAGATTCGCCAATGCAAGTGCATCCCGCTGCTCAATGCCTAAGGCAGCTGGGAAGTGTACTTGTATGCTTGGGGTGGAGTGGAGATAGTTGGGATGCACCTAAAGGCTGCAATTTTGGACCCTTTCGCGGATGGTGTGTTCTGCTCCGAGTGTGCAGGCAAATTTTGGCAAATCCCGTCTGCCATTGACGAATGGCTTATGACCGGCCAAACGCGCAGCATCGGGACATGCATGCGTCAACCCACCTGTTTGCATTCAAGACTTCTGATTCGGAAGGAGGCAAACCCTGCGAGATACAAAATTATCCCGGCAAGAGACCCCAAACAGTGTGTGTGAGGTCTGTAAGCAGAAAGTCTAAAGATCTAAACGCATTGGGGTCATGGTGGTGATGAAGTGAAGGTGGGTGTGAGTGAGTGTGGGTGAGAGGGAGCGTGAGTGTGAGTGAGAGTGGGAGAGTGAGTGTGAGTGAGAGTGAGTGTGGGTGAGAGTGAGAGTGAGAGTGAGTGTGAGTGTGAGTGTGAGTGTGAGTGTGAGCGAGCGTGAGTGAGAGTGAAGGTGGGTGTTAGTGAGTGTGGGTGAGAGTGAGAGTGAGTGCGAGTGAGAGAGGGAGAGTGAGTGTGGGTGAGTGCGAGTGTGAGTGAGAGTGAGTGTGGGTGAGAGTAAGTGTGCGTGAGAGTGAGAGTGTGAGGGAGTGTGAGCGTGAGAGTGAGAGTGGGAGACTGAGTGCATGAGTGCGAGTGTGAGTGAGAGTGAGTGTGAGTGAGAGTGAGTGTGGGTGAGAGTGAGTGTGAATGAGAGTGAGTGAGTGTGAGTGTGAGTGTGAGTGTGAGAGTGAGAGTGAGAGTGAGAGTGAGAGTGAAGTGAGAGTGAGAGTGAGAGTGAGTGTGAGTGTGAGTGTGAGTGAGAGTGAGAGAGTGCGAGAGAGTGAGTGAGAGTGTGGGTGAGTGAGTGTGCGTGTGAGTGTGAGTGCGAGTGTGAGCGAGAGTGAGTGTGAGTGGGAGTGAGTGTGGATGAGAATGAGTGTGAGTGAGAGTGAGTGAGTGTGAGTGCGAGTGCAAGTGAGAGTGGGAGAGTGCGTGTGAGTGCGAGTGTGAGTGAGAGTGGGAGTGTGAGGGAGTGTGAGTGTGAGTGAAAGTGGGAGAGTGAGAGTGGGAGAGTGAGAGAGTGAGCATCTGACAGCACAAAGTTCCGCACCTGCTTCGAGGTTCACCAAGTGCTGTGCCTGCCACGAAATCTGCACTTCGAGGTTCACCAAATGCTGTGCCTGCCACGAAATCTGTACTTCGAGGTTCACCAAGCGCTGTGCCTGCCACGAAATCTGCACTTCGAGGTTCACCAACTGCTGCGCCTGCCACGAAATCTGTACTTCGAGGTTCACCAAGTGCTGCACCTGCCGCGAAATCTACACTTCGAGGTTCACCAACTGCTGTGCCTGCCACGAACTCTGCACTTCGAGGTTCACCTTGCAAGTGCTGCACCTGCCACGAAACCTGCACATCGAGGATCACAGAGTGCTGTGACTGCCACGAAATCTGCGCTTCGAGGTTCACCAAGCGCTGCGCCTGTCGCGAAATCTGCACATCGAGGGTTGCAAAGCGCTGTACCTGTCACGAAATCTGCACTTCGAGGTTCACAAAGTGCTGAGCCTGCCACGAAATCTGCACATCGAGGGTCACAAAGTGCTGTGCTTGAAACGAAATCTGTACTTCGAGGTTCACCAAGCACTGCGCCTGCCACGAAATCTGCACTTCGAGGTTCACAAAGTGCTGAGCCTGCCACGAAATCTGCACATCGAGGGTCACAAAGTGCTGTGCCTGCCACGAAATCTGCAAACGAGCCACATGTCCAAAAGTCACGATTCACTGCACCTGTCACGAAGTCTGAGCTCCTCGACGATCACCTCCACGTCCAAAGTGCTGCACCTGCCGCCAAAACTGCACTTCGACGTAAAACAGCTCCGATCCCTTGCACCTGTCACGAATAGTCGACTTTGGAGCACCAACCACGAGGTTTCCCTTGCGCCTGCCACGAAAAGTCACCGCCATATGCGCAAATGCGCACGGCGCCACAACGAGAGCGCAGTCGTTATACACCCGCCGCGGCCACCCAGATTCTGCGAGCCTGCGCAGTCGAAGTGCACATGGACGATGTCGAGAGGCATGAATGTATATACTGCAAATAGCAACGAATTAGCCGTTCACGGCCGCGCGCCTCAGCGATCTAAGCACACCTTCTTTTCACCTACCGTAAGAACCCCTGTGTGTGTGCCCACACTGTTTGGGGAAAAATCACGCTACACCTGATACAGGAGGTCGATGGTGTCTTGCGCTAAAAAGTGACCGGAACACTCCGCCCTAGAATTGAGTCCAATCAGCCATAAGACATCATAAAACCATATGTCCAACTATGCTGCTGGTGAGCTGTGCCTTTCACCTCCTGAATAATCTTGGGATGAAAATCTGTGTTCTGTGAGTTCTGTGCACCAAACTTTGGGTGTTAAGCGTCGAAGGTCAGGCAGCTGCGGCACAATGCGCTCTAGAACTGCGACATGCATTCTCTCGCCATCCACCTGTGACGGTCGCATCTTGCACACAATCTGCGCAAGCAAAAAGCATCTCCATCAATGTTTCGCCGCTTTGCCCTGGCCTCCATGAGGCATTCCCTGGCTGCCAAACCTGCAACAAAGGAGGAATGAGAAAACACGTCAATGCCTCAATTATTACGCTTAAAAGAGGGTGAGTAAATAGGAATGGCCCCTGTAAGCGGCCCTTGTTTAAGGGCCCTTGCCTTCTTCGTCTCGTCATCTCTCTTCTCGCTCTTTGTTAGTACACTGTACAAGTATTTGAGTTACTGGGATTCGGCCTGATTAAGTGAATTAAGCGCTGGTATTGGAGAGGAAGGTGTGAGGCCAAAGCAGAGATAAACGCGGTGAGAGGTGGCGAAAGCAATGAAGTAGCACGCTTACCTACAGCGTGTCAGTGCAAAGTAAATATGATGAAGGCTTTCATTAGGTTTGTTCTTCACAAGAGTCCAAGTTATAAAGGGCTTCACTCACAAAGGTGGGAGGTCAGCTTCAGTGAAACTAAAGAGGTTTCCTGTGGGCGGAATGCTGGTGTGTTCCTGTCCCATTGGCAGAGGGGCAAGTTGTAGGGTCACTCGCAGACGATTCATTGACAGACCATGAAAAAAAGATAGCAATGCACCACTAAATCAAATCCGTTTGCTATCGTTTGCTGACACCTGCTGCTCACTCGGCGTTGTCGCTTCTGCTTGAGCAAAGCAATACCTTTAAACGGCCCCGCGCGCGATGCTGACAGCACTGGCAGTGGCCTTCGCTGCGATGCATCCACAATTTCTGGTCGTGCTGCTGCCTTGGGCACATCAAAGCATGTATATACATTACAAATCAAAGTTGGATGTTTGGGGTTGAGATAGTTGCGTGAGGGAGTTTAACACAGCGAAACACCACAGTTTGCCAAAGGAACCTCCATGCATCGGCAGTGAAGTCCCGCAGGCGCTGCAGGTCACCCACTGTGCCTCAGAAGTTGTGAGTCCCAAACATTACACCGGCATAGACCCCAGATAGCAACTGAAGCACATCCTTTCCGCTTAGCCCAGCGAGCACGTGAGACAAGTGGGGAGACATGTAAGGAGACAAGTGGGGAGACAAGGCAGCAGCGGCAGCAGCGGCAGCGGCACAGCAGCCGCACACAGCAGCAGCAAGCCAAAACGGAATACAGGCACCCAGTCATTGAGAAGTAAGAACCTCTACGGTTGTCGCTATCTGGGGAAAAACAGGATGGTGGTATCATACTCGCGGCGCACTCAAAGGAATTTGAAGTAGAACTAGAGGAAAGCATTCGTTTGCTTCATTGTGTGCAACAAGTGGAGGCGTTTGCAATTGTGGATGAATGGCACAAATCAAAACCACTCAAAGGTGAGACCAGAAGGTAGTACATGTTTTTTTGCCCGGGGGGGGTGGGCCGAGAAGAGGTAGTAGCTAGGTAGCTGGGTAGCTAATGGTAGCTAGGTAGCTAGTAGAAGCAAACGATAGCTAGTAGTAGCTTTAGTAGCTATTACCAACAGGACACAGGATAGCTCACGCTATTCACTTTGGTTCCTAGATTTGGGGGGAAACTTAAGTTCCTCTGTCCACATACAACCATTCCAAGTGCTGGAATACAAAAATTCAACGATGTTCATCTGCTTCTATTATTTTTATAATTTCTCCCACAACACAAAAACGTTGCCCCCGGCAAAGCCAATTGAACATGTTGTGAATAATGATGTGCCAAATCCATACAGTAGATACAAGCTCGCACGCACACGCGCACACACACACATTTACACAGGTTCATCCAGTAAGATAACCCACAGAGAAATGAATCGTGGATCGGCAAGGTGGCTGAGTCGGCAACAAATTTGGAGAAGTTTGAACATTGAACATTGTTTGAAACGCCAAGCTAGTTACTGAATACTTAGCAGTCTTGAACTAACGCCATGCATAGGGGAGTAGGTTCCATAGGGAAACGGGACAATTGAGTCACTTCAAATAGATTAAAAAGGACGTGAAGCCTCCTGTTTTTACAGCTAGAAAAAGAAAGAGAGACCTCCTGTTTGTAGCTAGGGGGCGAGACTGACGAATCGCCCCATTAGAGTAGAAAAGGCAAACAGAAGGAAAGGAA